TACTATTGAGTTCCAGCCAAGTGCATCACATTTAGATAGTAATATCCATATCCCAGAACAGAATAATCCACAGTAGTTCAAAGCCTCACTGTTATTATCTCCTCTCTTGAAAAGCTAGAACTTGGGCTGTAGGGTAGGAAATTAAGCAAGGAGGAGGACAGTTTGTGGTGTTGTGCAAATTTCTGAATTTTAAGTGGAGATATTTCATTTAGAAAATTAAATCCTGCTTAGCCTGACTTGAGAGTCAAATAGTTGGTTCCATTTTCTTTTTAGAGCTGCAGATTTGCAAGAGGTAGTAGAGTTGTGTAAACAAATTAAATCCTTGAGGACTTGGAAGAAATGGAACATCCAGACATTTTGGATTTGTCTTGCCAAATGAGTTTTATATTACAAAGAGGAATGTCTTATATCCCCTTAAAACATAGGCACATAAGTCTTGAGTAGTGTAAATAAAATGTTTTCATTGTGAGACCTCATTAATTTTTCAAAACCTGTGAGCCTTTGTAACTTTGTTCCTATAATTACTTAGTATATCGTAATTCATCTTACCTTTGAGCAAATTTTGGAACCAGAAAAGCAAAAGAATGGATATAAAAAAGAAACTCTTTGGTGACCTCAAACATTTAGTATCAATCCACTCAACCCCTCACTTTACATTAGGTAAATCACATTTTTAGTGTATAGTCATAGCAATATATTACTTGATAAAAAGTAAGCTTTTACAGTTGGGATAGAGTTGTAGAGCTGCACCACTTTAGATGTACTTCTTTGTGTGTGTGTGTGTGTGTGTGTGTGTAAGTGTGTAAATGCCACTTCAGTTGCCCTCAACTTTCAATAGCTGGTTGTATCCCAACAGTTCAGAGTTTGGAATTCTGTTCTAATTTTTCTGTTCTAATGTACTATGCTGATTTCATAATTAATTTACAAATATCTTTATTATTTATGCTCTATTCTACTTAGCAACTAGGAAGCTACTACATATTTAGAGGTAGAATGTACAAAGTACAACAAGAAATGTAAAGGCACCCCCTTTTATTTGAAAAAAAACTTAGATCATTCACTGAGCTTTACTGAACTTATGATGCAAATTAGTAACATTGTATTTTTTTTATGATTTCTATTGGACTCCCATTTCTCATTAAGATTTACTTTATGTATGAGTGCCCTTTCTGCATGTTTGTCTGCACACCACAAGAGGGCATCAGATGATTGTGATATTAGATATTTGTGAGCCATCATGTAGGTGCTGGGAATTGAACTAAGAGCAGTCAGTGCTCTTAGCCTCTGAGACATCTGTCCATCCCATACACTGGACTTTCACATCAGAAGTGAGTCTCATCTTTTGATACTTGTTATATTGTTTATACGTTGAGGAGAGGGACATTTCCGTTACATTAGTATTAACTATAAGGAATGGAGAGGTTTTTGAGGGTATAAATAAATATTTGTTGTATTTGAATGTGTATATATTTTAATTGTCCTTTCTCTCTACCCATTAAAGATTCCAGTGCTGAATATTCAAATGAAAATTTTTCCTGCACTTTGTACTGTGGCAGGGACCATATTTTCCTGTACAAATTACTTCCGTGTAATCTTCACAGGTGGTGTTGGCAAAAATGGATCAACCATAGCAGTGAGTATTCTTTAAGGTTTCCAGAGGTTTGCAAACTGAAACTTGTTCCTTCCATTATTTTGTTTTTTCATTTAAATAACACATAAAATCATTTGTCAACTTAGAATTTCTATTAAGCCTTTAAAATATATACTCACACGTTTGTATGCTGATAATTGCTCATGTGTATGGGCACAGCACATTTTGGAAAGTATGACACACTATGTAAAAATAAGTGACACCTTCCAAGGACAGCTGTGCTTTACCAGTTCAAGAATCTGTTTCTCACTAGTCTGGAGTCAGCTTATTGCAGTTGTTAGCTGGTAGCCACTGTTAGGTTCTAGTATGTTTGGGTTAAAGTGTTTTGTGTTAGGTCCATGTAGCATCTGACAGCATTAAATGCTCTTAACTCTGCTCTGTACAGGGAACAAGTGTCCTTTCTCCTTTCCTCCACATTGGATCAGTTATCACATTAGCCGTTATGATCTACAAGAAGTCAGCTGTTCAGCTGTTTGAAAAGCATCCATGTCTTTATATACTGACATTTGGTTTTGTGTCTGCTAAAATCACCAATAAACTTGTGGTAAGCACCTCAGTTTTTACTTTTATAACGTTCATCTTATTTTGGTTTTGTGGACCTGGATTTCTCTCTGTGACTTCCTAAGTAGTCTAAGAGTTTGCCATATCAATCTCTTTACATCAGTAGAAAAGCTGTTTTTACTCTTCTGACACTACATTTTGAGTTTGCCTGAAGTTCTTTGAAGCTCTGTGTCCTTTCACTACCTTGTCCATTTGAATTTGGTAGTCAGTTTATGTGCATGCTTCAGTATCATCCTCGACACCCACTGAAACGCTGTGTACAAAAGTGTTTTCTACTGGTATAGTTGGCATGACTATTCCCTTTCTCCTGCAATATTAACATTGTTGGGGTGTTTTTTAGTTTTGCAAACTCGACAACTATTGCTAAGTCATTCTTGAAACTTCATATGTGAGCATTATACTGATTTATTGTATTGCTGACAATTCTAAAATGAAAGTGCCTATTTCATTGATTTTGTTCTACTCTCAGGTTGCACATATGACGAAAAGTGAGATGCACCTGCATGACACAGCATTCATAGGTCCAGCCCTTTTGTTTCTGGACCAGTATTTTAACAGCTTTATTGATGAATATATTGTACTTTGGATTGCCCTGGTAAGTATTGTACTGTCTTATTTTGTGGTCTGTAAGCTACTTGTTTTCTTGTTTGAGTGAGCCAGTCCTAAGAGACCCTAGAATGGTAATAATGACTAGGACTGCCAGAAACCACATCTGTAATGTGTTGAGAGTTCTTTATGACTTCAGTGTGTTAGTCTTACTATTCCTACCTATGTTAGGACTCAAAAATTCCAAATTTCTGATTGTGTGTGTAACAGAAGTTCAGGCTATATTCAGCCATAGCCACTCATTTATAAATTGCCTAAGCAGTTGTAACAAAGAATGCAACTCAGAAAGCTTGAAATGTTGTGCTGAGTATATAGCTTAGTGGTCAAGTGCTTGCCTAGCATGCATGAAGCCTAGCGTTTGATCGCCAGCACCATATTTAAAAAGTCAGGCCTGTTTCCATCAGCTACTAGATGAGGGCTCTATGATGGAGGGTGGTCGGGGAGGCTTGGGAGGGAGGGAACTGGGATCAATATGTAAAATCAGAAAAAATAAACAAATAAATAAAATCAGGCCTGATGGCAGTGCCTGTGAGCCAACACTTGGAAACTGGAAGCCGGCATCAGAAGTTGATCTTCTTCAGCTACATTCTGAGTTTGAGGCTAACCTAGGCTGTGAGGGCCTCTGTCTCAAAAAATAAAATAAATAAATAAAAATCTTGATATATTTACTATATCTCTAAGGAAAGATTTGTTAATCATTAGCTGTAAAGGACACCAGGAGATTACTGTTATCCAGCTATCTGAATCTGAAGGTGAATCTGAAAGTCAGAAACTACCCTTCTGTCCTCTTAGGAAGTTTAGTGAGGCCTGTGCACATGTTAAGAATCTAATCAAATGTCTTTTTTTTTTTTTTTTTTTAGGTCTTCTCTTTCTTTGATTTGATTCGTTACTGTGTCAGTGTTTGCAATCAGATTGCATCTCACCTGCATATACATGTCTTCAGGATTAAAGCCTCTGCAGCTCACACTAATCATCACTAATGATGTGGCCGGGGTTCTGTTATACTTGTGTTTTCTGCAGGAAAGAATCCAAACATTTTAAGAATGGGGGTGGATAAGAACAAATGTAATTTATAATAATCAATGTTATATAACTTTCATTCTTTGTCACTGGTAACACTCCCTAACTGTCCTGTTGAGAGAATGGGAATTTCAGGTCCCATCCTGTAAACTGAACATGTTGTCAAACAGGGTTTGGCTCCAGAAAGCATGCAGGGAAAATGCCATGTGTTTGTGATTATCCTGAATTCAGACTACACTGTCAGAGGAGCACATCCCCAGTGGTGGTGATTCTAATGGAAAATGTTTGCAGGCCAAGACATGGTTGCTTTATAATTTTAACAACAAATCATCATCTTTTCATAACACCTTGTTTATTGTCTTCTCAGACTTTCCTTTGTTAAGGAGCCCAGCTTGTGGCATACACATCTTACCAGCTTGCGGGGTGAGAACAGTGATGAAGGCCTTAAACTGGGATGGAAAGGCTTCCTGGCTGTACATTGTTGAGAAAGTGATTTTTATTATTGATCAAGAAATGGTGTTTCTCACGGGCTTGGGAAATCTTGCTAGCATGCAGATAATGTGGTAACTTTGTCAATCCATTTTATTTTTTTAAATAAATATATGATCTCAGAGCCAGCCTTTTTTTTTCTTAGTTTCATTCAGGGGAAAGGTAAACTAAATTTGAAATGTCATTTTTTAAATTGAGACAAATTTTATGTTTGTTGTTTGACAATTAAGGAAATGTGATCAGCTGCTGTAGAAATTGTTAAATCTTTTAAAAAGGAGAAATGTTTTGTTCTTTTCTCTCTTGTAGGTGTTTTATGTTGCAGTCATTACTCCAACATTTCAGTAATTGTCCAGAATCGGGTGGTGGTAGTTTACTTTACATTCACCTTTTTGATATTTAAACTACTGTTTGAATGTCCTCTGTGAATCACATTTGTTTTCATTGTATCCAGATGTTCTATTTCTTTAGTATGAAGAAATACAAAGTTTAGTGAATCCCGGCACTTTTAAATGGAAACAGGAGGAAAATCAGAAGTTCCAAGTTATCCTTGACTATAGAGTTTTAGGCCAGTCTGATCTACACAAGACTCAGAAAATCAAGGTTCAGGGGAGCTGGGATGTAAAGATAATCTAAGAAAAACAAGAGGGGAAAAGGACAGGTATTCTTCCATTAGTACAGTTACAGCCATTGTTTTATTTGATTGTTTCAGCAGACATTTAACAGTTGTTCATGCCTAGTAGGAATTGAGACCTGAAGAGGCTAAATGAAATACCAGTTGTCACACGTTAATGCTATACTCCAGATGGAATCTAGACGGTCTTCTGAATTCTAGCTAGTGTTTTCTATACCACACCAAAGCTATAAACAGGTACTCAGGGCTAACTGAAATAAATACATGTGTCATGTTTTTCTCCTCATCATAGAGGGGATCTGAAAAGCACTTGTGTGTGCTTCCTTTGGCCCTAGAAAACAACAGCATCATCAGGCCAATGATTGCTTTATGGAAAGCCTCAGTTGGTGCTGGATGCTGTATTCACTGACCTCCTAGAGTATAAGAATCATTCAACATGTGGATACTTTTAGAAAACATAATTCTGGACCTTTTGGTGAGGGGTGGATTCTAGACAAGGTCACACAGTATCTCGGGCTGGCCTTGAACTCTCAGTTCTCCTTCGGTAACCCCCTGAATGCTATGATCATAGGCTGTGCCACCATATGTACTCCAGGTTCAGAAGTCTACCAGAATTTGGTAGACTTCTATTGGAGCCTTAGTATTTTCTGAGCCTTAACCGCATTCTGGTTTTTGGTCTGAAACTTTTCAAGATTTAACTAGGTTTAACATCCACTTCTATAAACCATATAAAAAGATACAATGATTCCTAGAAGCTGAGAACTATAGTTAGGCATAGCATGTGGACATGTGTTCCCCAAGTCAGGGTGTATTCCTTAAACTTCCATTTTGTAGTTCTGCCTGTTGATAAACTCTCACATCATTTGCATTCTTTGTATGGATTTCAGAAACTTCTGAAGGCCATCATAAAATTATGGCGAGAAAACATTTCAAAGATAGAATTCTAGAAGATGAGATGTTTTTCTTGCAGGTTTAGACAGAAACTGAATGGAGGTATAGGAAAAGATGGGCCTAGATAAATACTAAATACTTTGGATTATAAGGGGGGAGGGGGAAATGCCAGTGCAGGGATCTCTACGCTTTGGCTAGAGAATGGAACTGGAAGCTTAATAAGCAGTTGAGGTGAGATGCCTAAGACTGAAGGTAAAGGACTAGCCCTGGCTGAGTTATGGGCAGTCTGGCCTGTTTATGGTAGTCATGAAGTAGCCTTCAAAGGTTTCTGTTGACTGGAATTTCTCCATTAATTTGCCCGAGGACAAAGCGGCCTCCTTTATATTAGCAGTCCCTGCTCAGAATCTGGAAAGCACACCTGACTTCCAAAGTAGTACCAAAGACTACTATGCTGTGGCCACTCTGATCAAGATTTCTTACTCTTCCTAGTAGAAGTGGTGCTGCTGACCCCTGGTTTTGTGGTTCCAAACAGCCTAGTGTGACCAGGTCCTTCTTCATGTCTAGTTCAGTTCTCCGATACAGTGCCTCCTAGATTGACAAACAATAAGCAGTTTTCATCTTTATTTTCATCCTCACATGTCAGACCACTATTTTGTACATGGGTCACTGGGCCACAACAATGTTGTCTGCTGAGGAATTTATGATGGTGGTTCCCAGGAGATGGCAGTGGCAGCAACTTCTAATCAATCACCCACATCTGTATTACTGTTTCCCACTGTGTCCATTCTGCTAAAGATTCAACTTTGAGTACAGTTCTATGAGCTTGGATGAGAGCTCTCAAGGTTCTGAGAAACCCTGATACCAAGGACCCCAAACTCAGATACCACTTTGAAGCAAAACTGGGTACCAGTTGGAAGGAGGCCATGGATTCCAAGGTTGAGAGCCTCTCTGACCTTTTCATACCAGAAGGGCCAAAGTCCAAATTGGCCTGTAGCTCTAGACAGTGTTGCCCACCACAGCTTTTACTTCACAGTCTTTTCTCTTGATTTCTTCTGTTTCTTCTGCTCTTCATATTCAAGTATTTTCTTTTGGAAATAGCCTGTAGTTTCAAGCAGGTGTGTGTTAGGCAGTATCCTCAACATGCCTGAAGTCTGATCTGTGGAATTATAAGTCTACAATCCTAGTTGTTGGGAAGGCTGAGGCTACAAAATGAGACTTAGTATAAACAAAAAAGAAAAAGAAACAAACTAACAAAAAAAAAAAAAAACAGAAAGTCCCCACACTCATAAACTACCCAGATCTCTGGGCCCTCACCACATTTACTGTGACTCAAAAGGAGACCTACAAATACTAGGTAGCTCCAGAAAAGACAAAGCAGGGCCCAGGTTACTGAGTGATGGACAGGATGGACAGGCATCTCTTTACAAACTACCAGCCCCTGAAGTATTTCCTCTGCTTACTTCCATTGAGCCCCACTGCTGTCTGTCACTGGAGAGGAACACTCTCCCAGGAATCCTCTTAAGGGAAATACTTGTAGAGAAGTTGGTGGGTTGTGTATACCTGCAGGAGGATTCCTGCTCTTCTCTGCTTCCTGGATGAACAGAGAGAAAAGTTGTGTCTTCACAAACTTCTTCACAAACCGGCGCTTGGTTTTGGAGGTGACAGCCTTACAGAAGGATCGTTCTTGGAAGTGGCCTTGCCCACTGGCCTCACGTTTGATATAAGAGGCATAGTGGCCCACAGTCTTAACAAAGAACTGCACAAAAGGGCCTGAAACATGCTCATTGATTTGTTCTGAAGCTGCAGGAGACAGAAAGGCCTATGTCAGAGCAATGGAAGGATGAAATTACCCCAGTTCTCTAATTATGGTTTCCATTGTTGTCCGGAAGTTCTCAGGGGAGGCAACTGAGTAAATAACTGATTGAAATGGAAGCCTGAGCCTGAGGTGGCTCACAGCTACTATAACAAATTTCAGGAGTCTGGGACAGGAGGATTGCTACAAGTTTGAGACCATGTCCCACAAAACAAGAGCAAAAGAAATAGTCTAGGAACCGGGTATAAGTTCTCTACCATCCCCTAGGGAAAGAAACAAAGTCTCAATCAGGATTTAGTTCCCTAACAAGCTAAGAAATGAGTTTATTTTAATAAACAATAATTCCCTCAAGCTCTCTGGGAAAGAGGAACCCAGAACTTACTCTTTAACTCATTTATTCCCTGACCAAGAGAGTCCAAGATGTCATCCTGAAGTTTTGGTGGTAGGATGTCTTTTTCATCACCAACCTAGAAGAGAATAGAGAGCTAGGTCAAGGTCAGGCATTCTAGTCAGGAGATCAGGAAGGAGTCCAGGAGAATGTGAGGAGTGTATGAATCCGTGCGCTATTCCACCCCAATCCACTGCTTCACAGAAGAGCAGAAGTCATTTCTTTGCCTCCAGTTTGAATTCAAGCATGAGCAAAGAGATGTAAAGAGATAGCTATTCGTCCCCACAAGTGTATGTTGCTTGCTCATAAGACACTATTGCTGAAGCATCTGAGACCTTGCCTGTAACCTCATGAGGGGAAAGCACAAGTTCTTTCTCGAAGTGTCTATTGAGATTAGTAGGACATCAGAAGACTCAAAAGGTTGTGTTGGTGGCAGGCCTGCAGTTGCCCACAATGCAGACACTTACCGACAATAAGAAGGTTCCTTCACAAAGATTCACCAACAACACCTAAAGTAAACACAAAATGGCTTTATCTCTTCATGAACCTCAACCACCAACCCTCTTTCTGCCCATGACTATACCTGAAGCAAGGTAGCAGTAACATCAGCATTTGTAATTCTCATTTCCTGCCTGACATTCTCATTCCTTTTTTGTTTTTCTACAAATCTAATTTCCCAGATAGAAAGTGTGTGTGTGTGTGTGTGTGTGTGTGTGTGTGTGTGTGTGTGTGTGTCTAAGATAGAAGGGCATGATGGTGCATACCTTTAATACTAGCACCCTGGGATCCTAGACAAACAGAAGTCTACCTTAAAGTTCCAAGCCTGAAATGGGCTAAACATTATCATCATGTCATCACCCTTATCATCATCATTAGAGAGACCCTGTATAATAATAATAATAATAATAATAATAATAATAATAACAAGAAGAACAAAAGGAAAAACAGGAATAATAGAACTAGCTACAGGAATTATAGAAATTGCTTCCTTAATACAGAGCATGCCCATAGCACACACACAATACTCGCTGTGCATGTTTTATTTAATTCTAGCCATGGTTCTATGACACAGATACCACCTCATTTTGTACATGAGATAAACCTAGAGAAGTTCTTATCAGAACCAATGGAACTCCAAAGGCAGTCCATATAGCTAGGCAGGAGCTCAACCTGGATTATAGGATTCTGGTGGTGAGATAAAAGCCAGCATTCCTCAGGGAACAGTGAAACCCATTTCCATCTGCCAAAAGGGGTCCTTTCCCCTACCTCAGACAAGAGGGACATATGTTTATAGCCGTGGCATTTATCAGCATATCAAAGGCCCATGCTACCCCCTAGGCTCCCCCAGTATCACAAGTACCCATTACATATTCCAAATCCCACACTAACACACTAGCCTTCTCACTGTTAATGTAAGCTCACAGCTTCCCTCTGCTTAGCTACTTATCCTTCTTGTAACCCAGCTTGCGTTCTTGTTCTCTCTCTCTCTCTCTCTCTCTCTCTCTCTCTCTCTCTCTCTCTCTGCTGTATTCTCCATTTCTTGCTATTCTCTCCTGCTTCCATAGCTCTGCCCATGTCCAATATACTAACTCTGTTCAGTCTACTTCTTTCTGTCTGTGCTTTGGAGACTTCCACATGCCTCTGGCAGTTCTCTCATACCTATTTACAATAAAATCTACAACCATATTATGGAGCAGTCACATCAGCAGTTTCTTTAGTGTGTCTTCTCGCCTACAGTTCCCAGAGGTCATGGTGCTGAGAAATAGAAAACCAGTTTTCAATCATAAATTGTGGTCTTTGGGATCATATTAACTTCTCTCCATCTTCCCTTCGGCATCTCGTTCTCTGGTCTACTCAGCAAAGGACTGGTGAGAGGCAGCCATGTTTTGATCTTTTCACACTCTTATATGCACAATCGCCTAGGGTCCTTAAAAGCTCCCTCAGAGCACATGTTTAGCATGTTGTTGGCCTGGATTCAATTTATTAAAAGCTTGACAATAGCCTTGAGCCTTCCAGTAGGAAACTCAGCAAAGGAAGAATATTAGTCCAGGGTCAACAGGAAGAGAAAAGGAAAAGAAGCAAGAGGGACTGGGCATGTGCTGGCTACAAATGAAATAGAGAACCAAGTTGCTGGACCATCAGGACAGCTTGAAAATCCTGCAACTTAGAGCACAACACAAAACAGTCATGCTGCCAATTCCTCAGAGTATTCTTAGATAACTGGACCACTTCCAATATTTAAATTAAAATATTTTAAGTGATTAGATTTTGACATCTGAAATCTCATGAACTCTGATATCATTCCTTTGTTTTGCTTTGAGATAGTATCTTGGGTACTCTGGGGTAGTCTTGAATCCTTATCCTCCTCCTTTCACTTCCTATAAGCAAGATATACCAAAACCAACCTGTACTATTTTTAAAACTAACACTCAAAACCAGCAACAACAGTATCAAACTGCTACCATTAGACAGAGATTTGGTCACCAATGAGCGAACCATAGGTCTCAAATCCTGTGCTGGCATTTAAGGACTACTATGGGCCCCTATTTTCAGTTTCCAACATGGGTCTTGACAATAGAATGAAGGATCCTTATATGTTCGCTACTTTCAAATGTAAGGAAAGAGAAACTGGAAAATTTGCCAAAACACAGCCTGCACTGTAATTATCCATCACCAGGGGGAAAAAGCTGAACTAGTCCAGGCCTGAAACAGCATGTATACATAGGTTTGAATGCCTTCATGCAAGGAAACCTGTTCACTTGGGGGTGGGGAGAAATGTGGGCATGACTATTTTTTGAGGTTGTTCCCAGAAGTCTTTTCAGTATTTTGGTTATATTGTCTATGGAGTAATTCCTTTCAGAAAGCTTATGTGGAGAATCAGAGAACCTTGCACTGTGCCCAAAAGAGCAAGTACCCCATATGGACTTCCTCCTCAGTCTTGCCCATTTCTCAGTGAAGCTGCAAAGGAATAAAATAAGCAAAAGCTCTTGACTAGCAAGAGCCAGAGCCTTGTTTGCCTTCGTCCTGTCTTCCTTGACGGTTGGGAGGAGCCTCAGCTTCCAAGGAGGGAAGTTACATAACCTCCGGGGTTGAGACATTTTGAGTTTTATTGCTAAAGTGGGGCTGATACCCTGCTCCAGTTAATAAGGCTAAGGGTTGCTCACAGGGCATGTGTACTCAGCACAAGAGCTGGAGAAACAAAAGCAATCAGCCTACTTCTCTCCCTCCCAAGAGCAACTTCTATAGAAGGGCTTGGGCCTTTCTCTGAGTTCTACTGCTGCCTCTCTAAGTTGTAGGTTTGCTGGAACTCACCAGCCTCTTCTGTAAAGAGGAAATCCTCCCACTAGGACTACCTCAGGGCCTCTTTAGTGCTTGCATCATGATACTTCAATAGGTAACCATGTCTCTACACAGTGAGTTAATGGTTAGCCAGGACGGACCTTCCCAAATAGTCCTCCTGTATTCAGCTATAGTTACATACTGTCCTAGATTACACATTTCAAGTTGTTTGTCCCCCTTTGGGGGTAGATGTGATTAGTACCCATTTACATGACTGAACCCTCCTTTATGTCAGAAACAAAAGGCAACAAATTCAAAGGGGATTTGAATCTATATCTTCATTACCCAACTGAGTCCTGAGCTACTCAAAAAAGATGGTACTTGTTGCAAATCTCTTCATTTTCAAGACTTAGTTTACAAAAGGGCTTCTTTCCAAGGAATTTTAATTCCAGTGGAGTGTGTGTTGTATGAGCCAGCTGTGACCATTCATTTAACTAAGGTCACCCAACTGGCTGCTCAATAAGGATATATAGTCTAATAGGATAATCTCATGAGCTCAGAATAAGCAACATCTTGCTTCCCTAAGTCCACAAAGCAATCATTCAAGAGAAGACAGCCAATATTCACTGAGAATGGACTGTGTATCAGGTTCTAGGCTAGTAGCATAGCCATGTCATTTTCCCCAGGCTGTTGCAACTGAAGACAGCCGTACCCATTTTACTGATAAATTCAGGTTTAATGAAATTAAGTCACGTGCCCCAACTCACACAGGGGTTGGCAGCAGAGCTAGGATACAGGTCAAAGCCTGCCTGGCTGTAAGCCATGCACTCTCTTTGATGCAGCTTACCTCTTCCATGGGGCTGTCCATAACCTCCTGCTGGAAGCGCATCTGTACCCCAACCATGAAAGGGGTGGGGCAGCAGACAGTGGCCAGAAGGCTCTCAGGGACCACGGGGATGTATGTGTGTGCCCAACTAAAGGGGTAGAGCAGAGCAGCTGCAGCGTGAATACACTGAGACAGGGTACTAGAACACAGAACACAGAATGAATGGGTCATCAAGGCTTCTGTCCTATGCACTGGCTCAGAGCCCCACACCTACAGAAGCTACTGGCAATGTTCCTATGCTGGGTAAAAAAAAAAAAAAAATCCAAGTCTGGAAGCCATGCTGTTCACAGAGCTTGTAGCTACTTGTTGGGAAGAGGAGGAGGGTTGAAATCAGGTGAGGCAAGGCCCTACTAACCAAGGTGGGGCCCCCTTTAATCTCTATGCCCAGCTAGTTCTCCCAAGTCATTACTGGCTAGAAATAAGAGCAGCTCAGAAGCCATGTCTTCATTTAAGCAGGATATGAGTGAGCATCTGCTCTGCAAAGGACAGGGATAACCCTGGCCCTTCTTTGAAAAACTCATAGTTAACACCAGGATTTGGTGAAGAGGCAGAACCATCAGCAATGTCCCCCTATAGCTCCCTGTAGCCATCTGAGGTTACTAAAAGCTACTAGGTTGGTGCCTGAGTTAGTCCGGGAAATTCCTGGGTTCCAGGAACCACTCGCTACTCAGAGATTCCGGAAAGTCCCACAGAGGTGACTCCTCAAGACTTCGCTACAAGGATTCCTCATGTCATTACTATCCAAGTCACAGCTCAGCCTCCTTCCTTCCCCTCACCTTACACAGCCCCACTCTGGGGTCCCTATTCTCTACTAGCTCTTACAGCTTTTCATTTCTCCAGCCAAACTGCCCCACATTTAAGCCCAATAAAAACACAGATGTGGAAACCATGGTATCAAGCTAGCACTTCCTGAGTTAGACAGACTAAGTCTTGAGTGCCTAGCAAAAAAACTTGGCTGGCTGGAAGTCCCCTCCCTGAACCAGCCTCCAGTTTCTGAAAACTCCATGTGGCAAGAAAATAGGAAATGTTAACATTTCCTGGAGAAAGTTCATTCCTGAGAGGTTAATGGGTAACTTCCACACCCCAAACACAGGTCAGAAGAGAAAGAACCTAGTGGGAGCCTGAGCCCCAGCTACTACAGAAACTTCTTCCACAGGATAACAAAAATGATGCCCCATTCCACAAGAATTAACCTATATTTTCCTTTTTGGTTATTGCTGACGTTGTTTTCAACACACAGATCCCTGATCCTGCCAAGCTTCCTTTCCTCTGGAACTCATGACATTCCCTTGATCCTCTGTAGCTTCCTCAGCTTCATTCTCTTCTTCTCCCCTAGAGGAGCATACCAGGATTCAACCCAAAGTTATTGCTTGTTGCTGTGGTGGCACATGCCTTTAATCCCAGCTCTCAGTAGGTAGAGGCAGGCAGATCTCTGTGAGTCCCAGCTAGCCAGGGCTGCACAGTCAATCTCCCACTCTTTATCAATTGCTTTTCTCTGCCTGTCACATGTGTCCCCACATCCTTTTCAGACTTGAATTCTCTCAAAGGTAGCAGCTTCCTGCTTCTACACACAGGCATATATTCAACTGTGAACTGACTGAGATCTGCACCTGATGGTGTCCTGGGTGTCTATTACTGTGCATCCTCGCCTTTAATCCTCATCACAACTATATAAAGTAAATCCGACCATTTTCATTCTACAGATAAGGGGATCTTGCCTTCAAGAAGTTAAAAAGCTGACCCAATTGGAACTATAGCTAAAGGTGGAAGAAAAAGATTTGAAAGTCATTCTGCTGGTTTCAATACCTATGCTTAAAACCAATACATAACCCTTCATCTCCTTAAGTGCAAACACAGAGTCTTCTTGCTATCTCTCCAATGCTTGGCATCTGGCAAACAGCTGTCATGCAATAAATATTTGTTGAGTGAGTTCATAAATGGGTAGATGAGCTTATCCTCCACACTATTATATGGTTTCCTGTCCTCTTCTCCACCCTCTTTCCTCCTTTGGCCTGGCCTTGCAAGGGCAGAATTATGTCTGCATTCACACTAGCTGGCTCCGCCTGTGTTATATCAGGAACACTCCATGTCTTAGATTATAGTCAGGCAGCAGTCAAACTTGAAGATGACCAGACAAGTTGCACTACCTGTTTCTCTAGGCCTAAAATGCAGAAGCTGGAAGGTACACAGATGAACCCTACCATCAGACTGCCTTCAAGAAGCACCCATATAGTCCCTTGGATCTGTGGATGCACTTTAGTCTGGCCAGCCAATGGTGGAGCTTACCTGAGACCTTCTGCCAGAAATATGATTTTTCTTTCTAGTACTGCAGAGGCAAAGATCTGAATAATCTGCTCAAAATGGAGACAGTGCAACAGAGCACTAAAGTCCACATGTTCCAGGTGGGAGTCCAGGGGCCTTGTCAGTGAGATGAACTGTGGGAAAACCAGAGAGAAAGGCTTCAGTGATACAAAATCACAGACCCAGTCCAGGCCTATCCCACTCTTCCCACAGGACAGAGCTGATCCTGGCCCACCCGCCAGTGGCTTCCTTCTGCTCTGAGGACCGCTGGGTGGAATCTTCAGTATGGCCTAGGAGGTCCAGCCTGGGACACATGCTCATCTCCACATGCTCCACCATGTGCATGTTCTTGAGCAGAGCTCTTCTCCTGCCTGAAGCCCGGCATGGTTCAGGGCTCCCACACACTGCTTTCCTCTCTTCCTTCTTATCCTTGAGCCCCAGACTCCTACGTTGGTCATTTTAAGTCGTCCTCATCTTTCTTCTCATGCTACACACTGCCTTTTCTTTCAGTGTGATTGCTAAATCTTTAACTGTGTATTCTCTGTTCATTTGCATGTTTACTGATGTACCTTCTCCATGAGACTTTTAAGCTCCATGATATCAGGAGCCATATTCATCTTCCTTAACCACTCTACCCGGATAATGCCGATTTCAACACATAGTACTTCAGTACTTGTCTTTCCTTCAATACTTATTTTTCCAGTCACTGAAAATTCCTAGTGACTCCTGGTTCTTCTTTGGGAATGACCAGGTTCAGAGGTGCACATTGGAATTTCCAAAGTCCCATAAATCCTGGCTGGAATTCCGTTTGCTGCCTCTGTTCTTTAGTAACTTAGAGCAATAGTACCTACCTCAAGAGACAGGTGTGGACTAAGGGTGGGGATGAATGATAAGAAATAAAACAGCTGGAGACTGTAGGGTAGAGATGCAGGAAACATAGAGAGAATAGGAGTAAAGTGTAAGAGCAACTGGAAGTCTGGAGACTAGGAACAAACTTAGCACAACACATGATCACAGAAAAGATTCAGTAGACTTAATAGTAAGTAGATGCAGGTTGACATGAGGTTAGAAGATGCAGCACATTTGGGTGAAGTTTTAGCTCCACCAATAATCCTAAGGCCTGATTTTGCTTCGCTTTACTTGGACCTGGTGAATGAAGGAAAAGCAATGAGAGATTCCACAGAATCCCACCCTCTCCAGCCAGGGAGAGTCATACATGTGTTAACCTACCTCCGTGCCTGAGTCAGGGATGAAGCTTTTAAGGGTGACAGTCTTTCCAGGTGCAGGGAAGGGGGCCTCTCGGAGACCTTGCATGAATGGGTAGATGACAGCCATGGAGATCTGATGCCTCTTCTCTACTTCATCTAGTATCTACATGGGAAGGACCACAGGAAGGGAAGCAAGGCTTAGAAAGATTCTGCTGAATATACCGAGTCTCCTACACTGGTCCTACTTATTCTCTGGTATTCTCTAGGCCCCTCCACCAACTGGCTTCCATTTCATGGACAAAATCTACTTTCTTTGATTGTCTCTCATATTCCTCCCTTCTCCTGACATCGACATAAAACTACCAAGTCTAGCAAGTCATGTCCCATGTTAGCAATGGCTGGGTAGGAACTTTCTGGGTATCACTGTCCCATTTACTGTGGACTGTCATCAGGGTGAGGCTGCCACCATCCCTCAATGTGATTCACAGAAGTAAGATCCACCCAAGCAGAAGTCCATGGAGCTCCTCTCCTACATCCAGAGTCCTTCTGGCTACCAAGATGGACCATGTCCAGAATTAGATACTCTTCCTTGATACTATCCCCAGCAACACAAGTCCTCAAATTTCTCTTTTAGCTTCATCAAAGGTAAATCTCGAGATACTCACTGCATATTTGCCTTTTGACTTGTGTGCTGCCCTCCTTTTTATGAAGTATTTTCTCATGTTATACTTCATCTGAGTCTCAGACCAACCAGTAAGATAGGAAGAAGAATGAACAATAGTTCTAAGGGAAAACAGCCTCCTAGATGCCTTTTAAATAGGGTTGAGCCCAGTTTTACCCAATATCCTTGATTCTGGCTGGGCTATCAGGAAGGCATTCTACCAAGGGCTCAAGTTGCAAGGCAAGCAGCCAGGTAGAGCCAGAATGCTGAACAGGCCTGCTTAACAGGCTCCAAGGAATCTTGTTCTAACCCTACCTTGGAGAACAGGCCGAAGCAGCCGATGCAGCTGATGATGCAGTAAACTTTGGGAAGGCGAGGGCCAGGACCAGCAGGCTGGGGAGGGACAAGAGTTTCCTTCAGGGCTTCAGCTTCCACAGGGTTTCCCCCACATGAGACCGATGGGGCAAAACTTGGGGTGCTGTGGATGGGGGTCAATGGCTGTATAGAGAAGGGCCTGTACAGGGGTTCTTTTCATAGAACAGACAAAAAAGGGTCAAAATAGTCACCAAAGTCAAAGGATGGTGATTATTGTTTACAACAGTCACATTATGCAACCAGCCTGTGTCTCTCAACAAATGAAAAGAGAAAGCTAACCTGTCATGTAAATAAAGAGGAGTATTATTCAGATAAGAAGTGAAATTATGACATTCTGAGGAAAATGTAGCTGGCGATTATTATCTAAAGCAAAAGAAATCAGGCACAGAAAGACAAATATGTGTTTTCAATTTCATATGCAATATTTGAATTTTAGAAAAATAAGACATAAGTAAAAAACACAAGGGGCTAGAGATATGTCTCAGTGGTTAAGAGCACACAGAAGATCCAAATTCAGTGACCTGCGCCAACTCACAGCCACCATTTACTCCAGCTCAAGGGATGTCCCTTCTTCTGACCTAATAAGACAGCAATACACATTTGCATATAACTTACACACAGACACACATATATGCACATATCCCACACAGACACACATATATATGCATATATCACACACATATGCACATATCACACACATAGACACATAAATATGCATATATGTATATATATATATATATATCACATACATATAATTTTTTAAAAATCTTTTTAAAAAGAGAGACGGGGGGCTGAAGAGATGGCTCAATGGTTGAGAGCATTTTCTGCTCTTTTGGAAGACCTAGGGTTTGTTCCCAGCTAAATGGTAACTCACAACTATTTGAAACTCAAGTTCCAGAGGACCTAGCTCCCTCTTCTGTCCTCCATGGGCATCAGACATGCATACAGTGGGCTTACATGCATACACTTAAACACTCATATACTTATACTTAAGAAAAGAAGAAAAAGAAGTAAGATCCACCCAAGCAGAAGTCCATGGAAAACTTGAAATTACAGATGTGGTGGGAGTAGTAAATATGTACAATTGAAGTACATGGATTACACATAAGAAAACATAATAATAAAATCTATTATTTTATACAGTGGGCATATGCTAATAAGAGAAGAGAAGAAGGAAGAAAAGGAGGATGAAGGTGTGAGTGGCAGCTTTCAGGGGCCAGAAACCCAAAGGTAAACACAACTGACTCATGGCCAACATAAGCTGAAGGACAGTGAGAACAAAAAGTAGTGTGTCTTAGCCATGAGGAAATGTCTAAAGAGGAAAACATTGGAAAGGTGTCTAGAGAATCCTTGTCCTAAGTGCCAAGAATTAAACCTTGTTCAAGTTTCAGATTGTCTGGGAGGCTCCAAGCAACAAGGCAAGAAAGCCTGGGTAGAGAAGACTACAAGAAGGTTTAGTTGGTGCCGCTCACTGTATGTAGAAATGTTTGAGCTGGGAGAGCACAGGCCAGAGCCTGGTGTCTTGGGAGGGGAGGGACAGTATGTCCTTGTTCTTGTGGGATTCCAGAAGGGACACTAACATGGCAGCATGTGCTGAGCTGTACTCTCCCTATAACCACCACTGCCACCGAGCCTGAGCTTTTATAACCGAGGCTTTGGCAAGCCCAGCTGTGGAGCTGAACAGTCTGCAGAGAGGAAGGGGCGGATCTGAGTAGCACCGACCAGGAGGCGCCTGCAGTATCCAATCTTCCTGCTTCCATCCACATTGGTCAGGACGAATGAGAAGGTCTCCCTAAGAGAGGGCAGACCAAGGGTATGCTCAGTAGATTCTGAAACAAGATCAAGGAAGTGGAGAGGACGGCAAAGGGGCGCTGCTGATTAATCATGAGGGTAATCACCGTGGTCACTCATTAAGCACTCAGTGATGCCAAGCCCAAATGCATCACCTCATCTGAGACTCAAAAGAACATTTCTGAAGGAGGTTCAATTAGTATTACCACTTTAAAGAATAGGTAACTAAGGCTTGAAGGCTTCTCTTTCTTTTTTTTTATTTAAATTAGAAACAATCTTGTTTTATATACCAATCCCAGTTCCCTATCCCTCCAATTCTCCCATGCTCCCAACTGACCCCCATCCTATCCCTCTTCTACTCCATAGAAAGGGTAAGGCCTGCTAGAGGGGATCATCAAAGTCTATCACATCATTTGGGGCAGGGTCTAGGCTGAGAGAGTATCCCTCTGTGGGGAGTGGGCTCCTAATGTCCATTCATACACTAGGTACAAATGCTGTTCCATTACCAGGGGCCCCATAGACTTCCCAGGCCTCCTAACTGTCACCCACGTGCAGGAGGCCTGGTTCCATCCTATGATGGTTTCCAAGCTGTCAATCTTAGGTCCATGAGCTCCCCCATGTTCAGGTCAGCTGTTTTGGTGGGTTTCCCCAGCTTGGTCTTAACCCCTTTGCTCATCACTACTCCCTCTCTACAAATAGATTCCAGGAATTCAGCTCAGTGTAGATGTGGGTCTTGCTTTTGTTTCCATCAGCTACTGGATGAAGGCTCTATGATGACATTTCAGGTAGCCATCAATCTCATTATAGGGGAAGGGCATTTAAGATAACCTCTCCCCTATTACTTAGATTCTTAGTTGGGGTCAACCTAGTATGTCTCTGGACATTTCCCTAATGCCAGATTAGAAGGTTTTTCTTATCTAAAATTTGAAGTCATGGTCAAATCCCAGTGTTCATGTTGTAAGAAGCCTTTTGATATTGTCTTCTTAGAGTGCAAAGACTTCTTTCTAGTCCAGCTTCTGCCAGTGGCGGAGTCAAAAATGGTGACTGTTTCTTCCAGGAGACTCTTAAGCATCTTTGGATAGAGGTCAAGTCACAGCTAAGATCTTTGACCTAAAGGACCCTAGGCAAACATTTTCCTGGCAAAAACTCTACATTCACACCAGGTGAGGGGACCACAAGGGCTACACATTTGTTGTTTCATCCAAATCTGGTACCCTTGCCCCCAAGCTGAGTGATTACCTGGGATAGTCTGTGAGTGGTGCCCACTCGTTCCCATCAGGGAAGCAGAACAAAGGAATGGCTTTGAGTAGCCGTTCCTCCTCCTCCTGTTGACCCCGGAGCAGGTTCTCCCTCTGTAAGGAAAAGGCAAGGGGATTTAGGCATCAGCCTTCTTTCCTGTTAGCGCAGAGTACAAAGGTGCCTTTGCCTGGTACCACATAGTCTGTATTCTAGGTCTAGTGGGGATGACTCCAGAGAGAGAACAATTTTTTCTAGGCCACACCAACATAGCGTTTGGTTGGAATTCAGTATTCTGAGGATTTACATATTTGAAATGGGTGTTAGAGAGGGTGTCACCCTGACAGGGTGACAACAGAGAAATACCACATCAGAAATACCACAAAAGAGCAACCTGTCCATTTGCTGAGTGGCTAACAAGAGGGGTTGATGGAATGGTGTCCTGTACCTCATCCAGTGCATAATCAGACAAGGAGGCATCTAATACTTTGGGAGTCTGATCTTGGCCTGTGTTTGCATCACAGGTCTGCTTGATTATCTACCATACAACCAGAAAGGGCATGTCTTCTTAGGAGTTCCAGCAGAAGCTGAGCTTTTCTGTAGAAAAAGGTGGCTGGCGTGGAATTTGGAGAAACTAGGAGGTTCCCAAAGGGACAAAAGCATGGGGCTGGCTTCCCTGCTCTAGATGTTCAGTCAGTCCCTCCTCACAAGGCAGGCAGACCTAGATTCTCTGGGTGATAACAAAAAGCTAGGGCTGGGCTACAAAGAAAGAGAGCAGTGACCTCAGAACTCAAGACCTGGCAGGGAGGTATGGAGTAGAACTCCTCCACCACCTTTAAAACACACCTCTGTCCCCCACCCCCGTCTTCTGGCCCCACCTCTCCTGTCCTTACCTTGGGAAACTGATAGGTGATCGTGGGTTCATAGTCATCCCCTGAACGATTTCTCTTTAAAGAAACAACAAGAAGGTATTCAAAGAAGTGCTGGCCTCCAGCAAAGCTAGACAGAGAATGCTCCTGGCTCCTTTCTGGCTCTGTGGCAGTTTCCACAGTATTGCTCTGGGAAGGTCCTAGAATGGAGATGCAAGGGCCCTTTAAGAATTCCATTCCTCCATTCTGTAGTGTGCACGTGTGAGAATCTGGGCAACCTGCATGCCTCAAGGGTATAACGCCAGTGCTGACACCCAAGCCTGACCAGGCACCACCAGTCACGGGGCAGGAAGGACCAGAGCCAAGTGGGCAGTTTCCATACCTGTCCTGGAGAACTTGAAACTGTTGAGTGACACAGTGAGAAAAGAAAACACTGATGTAGAAACTGAGGAGCCATGCTATGTAGGCTCTTGGAGGCCCTGATGCCTGACACTGCAGTCTGCCTACCGCAGCCGTTCTGGTAGTATTTCCTGTGCCCTGAGTAAATCTGTACTAAATAATCAGATGGGCCCATGGGGCATTTTCTTATGACCATACCAAGACCTCCACAGGAGACATGACTAGCTCTACAAACTGGCAAGGTAATCCTCCTGGCCTGATCACATGGGGGCCATGTGGATTTGGGCATGTAAAGGAAAAAGGAGGAGCACTCCTGGAGGAAACAGCCCATATGAGGATCACCCCAAAAAGGAAGTAGGCAATCCAGTTCTGACCTGCTCGAAGTCGTGGCAAGCGATTTCGGAGCAGCCTGAGAGTTCGGCCAACCCCTTGTCCTTCCATCGTTCTGGGCTTTGGGGGCATGAATGTTCTTTCTCCTTCAGGCTGGCCACAGAAAGCCTGAGAAAGTGCTTTCTGCTTTGGTCTCCAATCACAGCTTTATTAAGCTGAGCCATGCGCTGTCTCCCAAAGGCAGAGAGCAGTTTCCATCCTGTGTACTCCGTAGTTGAGCAAGAAGGATGTGAAAGGACCCACGAGGCAGCTTAATGTGGGCACTAATAGAGACAGCATCCTGGCACGGCAGCTCAGCTCTTGGCTCCTCCCAAGAGCCCCAGGGTGTGGTAAGAGAAAAGGTCATGAGCAAACATCTCAAGGCAGAGCTGCTTCTGGAATAAGGGCTTTGAGTTCCGGTGCCGCAGACCATGTGGTGAGTTTATGTACAACCTCAGGCAGTGAGGCATGCCTGGAAAAATCAGGGCATGGACTCCAGAAACTCCTGGATCTCAGCATAGGTATTTTACAGACCATATCTTTGATTGTCCTCTGTTAACATCTCAAGTTGTTCATAAGAAGCTGCAAAGTCCCACCAGGCCAACTGGCAAATTCTAAAACATCCAGGACTTCAAGATCTCAACCAAGAACACTGGACTGAACACTTCCTGCAGCCAAAATGCCACTGCCTTGCCCTGGTTCAGGTAAGTAGACTTGTCCATGATTCTCTAAACAACTTCTAGCAAGAGAGGAGTCTCTTGACAGACCCTACAGATACTCTCTCGTCGGTGAAGAACAGAGCCCACCTTTGAGAGATCCTGATATTACAGAATACTACAAAAGTAATCCCTTGCCCCCTGTAACATGTCCTAGTCTAAGGCAGAGGACTCTTTCACTGGGACTATTCCAGGGCTCCAGTACAGCCTCTCTTTCTAAAGGAAGCACTGACTCAGGAAATTGTCCTTAGCCTAGAGTGGGGACTGGTTGCATCAGCAGCAGCAGAGCATCTTCACCCCTTCCCGACTCCTGCTTAGCCTTTCCTGGTTAGACCAGGACAACATCTTAAGCTGCAAACCCAGTGCTGTGTCTAGAGGTTGAGGAAGAGGGAGAAAGTAGCCATTGATAAGCCAGATTTCTCACAGATATTCCTGAATAAGGAAATGCATGGGATAAGAGGAAAGAGCCTTTGCCAGGACGTTGTTTAGTGGGGAGGGAGGAAGCAAAAGGATCTGGTGCCTGTATCTGCCACTCGTGCAAAGAATTAGCAGCCCTCTGGGAGGGAGTGTTTTGCTAAGGTAGGAAGGCTGTCTCTCTGCTTCTGAGAACTCTAGAACTGGGCCTTTGTGGCACCAGTAAAAGCAGGGACCCAGAGGCCCCATGTTGTCTTGTTGGGAATACCCCAATCGTAAGTAGGATGAGAGCTGTAACAGTGAGGGGGTGAACCAAGATATCCCAGGCAGTCACTGTGTCTTTCTTATATCCTGTATAGACACGTTACACAATCTTTACTTGTTTTCTTAAGGAATAAGCACCTGCCTGATGCAGAAGGGAAAACGGAGGCATTAAGTCATTCGGGCTATTTAAAATGAACAGAATCTGTAGAAGGTGAGCATTGTAAAGATTCCAAATCTAGGATGAGGCCTTCTGGTGTATCACACAGTCAGCACTGTGTGTGTGTGTGTGTGTGTGTGTGTGTGTGTGTGTGTGTGTGTGTTGGGGATGGGGGTAAGCAAATGGCTTGGAGAGCTAGAATCATCTTCCTGATCATTACAGAACCTCAGGAAATATGTCTTTTCCTAAGTCCTTGGGGCAGCATTTTCATTCCATTTCCTCCTGCTTTATCAGGAGAATGTGGGGGAACAGCAAAGTCAGAAGTCCCAGACCAAAGAAAAGTAAATAGACTTTTTGGGCTGAAGCTCAAGGGATCCAACAAAAGAGTATGTACTCCTTCTCTCCCTTCAAAGGGGGCTATCACGAAAAGCATGAGAAGAAATAATATGCATCAAACCCTGGCATAATACACGGCATCTCACTTAATCCCTAATGTCCTGCAGTGGATTCTTATCCTCATTTTTAATTGGGGAAGGAGCCTCCCTTATAAGGAAGTCAAGAGTCTGGTTATACTTGTTCTTTCACCAGGAAGCTTGTCCCACAACCACCTGAAGGGAGGCAGGGACCCTGGGGACCCTTGATCTGAAAAGCTGTTGTTCATTCTTTACTGAGCTGCTAGAGCCCCAGAACCACCACAGCAGCCTTTCCTACCAGTGTTTTACACACACACACACACACACACACACACACACACACACACACACCCCTACCTACCTCTGAGAAACAACTGCCTGAAACAGAAGGGGAATCCCCCAGGAAGCAGGATAGAAAGATGAAAAAGCCACACACACCCATATGACATGACAGGTGCTGAACTTACTAACAGGCACATATAGACAAGCCTGCCTTCCTGGCCCTCAACCACAAGGAAGCCCCTCCAGGTACCGTTGTTTCCTTTGTTACTTTCAGGGTGGGGTGGGAAAACAAATGAATTGTGTCCTCTGAACCCTAGGAAGCAGATCCCAGCTATTCAGCAGATACCCAGGTCTAGGAAGCCCAAGAATACAAGCCAGGATTCTGCAGGAAAAGAAAGAGGAGGAAGAGGAGGAGGAGGAGGAGGAGGAGGAGGAGAAGGAGGAGGAGGAGAAACACAGATCTCCTCCCTACATACGGGTTGAGCGATTGCAGACCCCTCCCTTGCGTGCAGATGGAAGAGGTACATGCCAGATCAGCCACAGCTGGAGCAGGACTGAGGGTGGCAGAAGTGAGAAAGGGCAAAGAGCTGATCAGTCGCAAGTCACTGCAGTTCCGGGGAGGAAGCCTGACCTCAACTCCGGGGCCCTATTAGGAGAGGGGCCCACTGACCACTTCACTGGAAGGAGTGAGCTCTCTGGGAATGACCCTTCCAAACCTTTCAGTCCACTTTTCAGAAGCACAGACTGCCTGAGCAAACTCAGGAGTGGCCACTCAGCCTTAGCACTGGCCAGTCATAAACAGCAACAGATGTCTGTTGAATGAATGGACACAAATACTAACCACCCTTCTTCCAAATCCCAGTGCTCTACACATGAAGAAAGGAAACTTGATGAGGCACCTCTTTTCATCCCTCCCATCCACCCTGAATAGGGAAAAGATTCCCATCTTACAAGTCAGGATTCAAGATCAAGATTGAGAAAACAGCTGGACTGGTCTACCTGCTCCCCCTCCGCTCACACCCCCTTCCCCCGCGACGTCTTAGCCAGTGCTAAGGCCTTGGGGACACCAGTTTTTGTGGCGCTTTATCAGCAAGGAACCCAACAAACGCCAGCCAGTCCAATCCTAGGCTGCTAAGAGGGAAGCAAAGCGCCTCTGGGAGGGCTGGTAGCCCCAACTCTCTAGCCATAAAGTGACTGCACCGCACCACAAGCTTCCTGGATGGAAGGACACGCGGCCCACAGCTCAGAGCCTCACAACCATTGCAGGTTTCTGGTCATCGGGTTCCCCCTCGACCCAGCAGGTCTGTCCACTCTCTGACCTCTACGTGCTCTCTTGAGTTCAGCTGCCTCCTGCCCAGATCTCGCCCAAACTGCTCCTGGATCTTGCCCCTAGTGCCGCACTGAGCCTACAGTCCTGACACCCAGGCCCCCACGCCCTCTCCCCACCGCGCGCTGTAGCCCGCACTAACCCCCGCGGCCGCGCTTCAATCTCAGGCTGGCTCGGAGGCGGCGGCCGAGCCCATCCATGGCCCCTCCAGTGCCTGGCGCTGACTCCCACGTCCGCGCCGGCCCCGCCCCCTAATCCTTGACCTTCGCGGGGGCCCTAGAACTTTCACTTTCACGCGGGAGGCGCTGGGAAGGGGGTGACTGGGGCGGGGCAGCGCACCTTCCGGGCTCCCGCCCAACCCCTGGTGCACCTGGCCTTCCCGGGTCCCCACCCTACCCCAGTGCGCCTAAGACCTAGGGTGACAGAGGGCGCTAGACTGCACGTCCAGGAGGGGCGGTGCCACCTCAGTCACCCTCTGTGAAACACACTGATAGGTGCCTGAAGAGACCCCTACCTTCAGGGCAATGACTGAGAGATGCACCTCCCAGATGTTTGCAAACTAACCAGGGAAGGTGCAGAATTTTCAGACCTCCCTTCTTTCCAGCTAAATACCCGTCCTTGCAACAATTTGGGTAGGTGGCTACTTCCAGTTCTTTCCTTTGTCACCTCTTTCTGGAGACTCCTGAGAAAGGACCAGAGAGGTGGATTAAGGTACTGTCCCTAACTTCCATTTGACTTTGTTAGTACACAAATCAAGAAAACCAGGATACAATATACGACCCTAGCTACTGTGTGAAGACTGTGAGTGTCAGACACTAAGATAACAAAACCCTCTGGAAATTGTTAGGTAATACAAATTTAAAGGATTCCAATTGTCAGCATTATAACTACTTCCACTCCCCCTTTGAATCCCTGAGACCAGCGCAGCAGCAACCCATACTTTCTTCTCTCTTCACCTCCACTGACTTCTAAATAGGTCCAGACTTTAGATTGCAGCTATTAACCAGGACACTGTGATAAGCAACCCCTACTCCGCCCCCCAGGTTTCTGTGGAGCATCTTCTCTTCCTCCCAGGACAGGGCAGGTATTTGTAAAAGAGGGATGGGCAGAGTCTGCTTGAACTTTCTATGGCCACCAAAGTCTTTCTTATCTTGGTTTCAGGAATAAAAGGCAGGAAGTGAAGACCCACAAATATATGCCTGGAATCCACAGTCCTCTTTGGTCTCTCCATGTCTTGCCCCCAAGTGACTCCATATTCCTCAGCTAGATAGTTCAGAAGGAATTGGAGACCCAGCCCTTACATTAAACTGACTATTCTGAACAAAGGTTCTATGAGTTGTCTTCACGCTGGGTACAAGAAGCTTACACTTAAATATATATATATATATATATATATATATATATATATATATTTCCCCATCCCCCAAGTTCCTTCTCTTATGAGACCCACAGCTTATGCATCTCTCTTAAGAGAAGGAGCTACTCATGAAAACCTTGTCCAAATTATTGAGGTTATTGTGTCTTAATTGACTCAAACAGTGCTGTCTTCTTTTAAACAGATGATTAAGAATACATGTGCACCAAGAAGACAAGGACAAGAAGATTAATGGAAACAGTATTTGAAGCAACCTTAATGTGAAAAAACAAAACAAACAAAAAACAACAACAATAAAAAAACCACCTCTCATGTTCTTTAAAAGAAAAATAGGCTAATCATGGCAAAAGTATACAATTGTGTATTTTGTGCATCAACAAAAGTAAATAAACTCCTATTTTTGTGCAATATAATCCCCATACTGTGCAAATGTGATGTTGAGCAAGAATTACCAGACCTCAAAGAGCTATGCTTCAATTTACATAAAGTTTGATACAGACAAAACTAACCTATATTATGGGCAGTCAGGATGGTGCATCCTTTTAGGGAGGAAGGAGGAAATAATTACTGGGGGATACCATGGGTCCTCTGCATGGTGGAGGGGGGGGGTATAATGGCTGTGAGATACCATGGGACCTCTAGTGTTGGGGGGAAATAGTGGCCATATCCACTCCTAATGTGTTGATAAAGTCATTTATTAAGAGGTTTCTCTTTGAACTAAAGACATAGGAACTTTTTGTTTTTGTTATTATTTTAGGCAGAGTTTCTGGAACTCTGTAGACCAGGCTGGCCCTGAATTCAGAGCTATAACTGCCTTGGCTTCCTGAGTGCTGAGATTAAAGGCATGTGTCACCACCACTTAGTGATTTAAGAACTTTTTAATAGGTATATGAGGCTTTCACTTAGACTAGAGTAATGTCAGCAGAGCTGTTGATGATAGTAGTGAAATGGAGGTAGAAACTGGCCAAGAATGAAATGCAAAATTATTGGAATGTGAGGATGTAAAATCTACATTTCTGAGAAGGATGAATAACAGCAGGCAGAAACGTTCAGTGACCCAGAATTGAAGGGATATTTGTATTTGACATGGTGGGTTCTATGAGAAAGGCAAGAAAGCATTTGTTGTTGGCAGAGAGACAGGAATGGGAAAAAAAAAAAAAACAAAGGCTCATAGCTCAAGAAAGAATGAGTGGAAGAAACTAACTCAGAGGGGAGAGGAGAGGGAGGTGGGTAATAAAGGTTTTAGTGGAATTGGAGCATAATTATGTTTTATTAGGAATATATTATTTTATAAATGAGTTTCATTTTGACATTTTCCAAAAATATACAAAATTTCCTTATGCCTTGTCTCCCTCCCTTGTAACAGTCTCACTTAACCCCATATAGTCATTTCTACTTTCATGGGTTTTTTTTGTTTTTGTTTTTTTTTTTTTGTTTGTTTGTTTGTTTTTTAAGCTAGATTTTGCCAATGGGAGAAAACAGCCATTATTTGTCTTTCTAAGTCTGGTTATTTTATTTAACATGGTTGTAAGGAGTAGGTTTTTCCACCCGCCACTGGACTTGTCCCACCACCACGCCAGCCCCACATAATACACAGAGAGACACTATATTAGATATAATTCTGTTGGCCAGTTACTTGTTTCTTATCGGCTAGCTCTGTCTTAATTATTAACCCATTTCTATTAATCTAAGTACTTCCACATGGTCTCATCTTACCGGAGAGTCCGGCTGGCGTCCTGCTCTCTCCAGACTCTCCATGTTGACTCCTCCTTACTACCTCCTTGAATCCTCCTTGTCTCCTAGTCCCACCTATCTTGCTTTCCTATTGGCCAACAGTGCTTTATTCATTAACCAGTATGAGAAACATATTTACAGAATGGTATCTCCCATCACATGGTGATCTCCAGTTCACTTATTTTTCTGCAAAGGTCATAATTTCACTCTTTTTCATGGCTGAATAATGCTCCAATGTGTATATATGCCACACTTTTCATCCATTCTTACTATAATGGGTACCTAGGCTGATTCCATAACTTGCCTATCTTACATAGTCAAGTAATGGGCATGGGTGATAAGTATCCCCAAGGCTTCATGTCATTAGAAGTGGGAAAGTTCCCCATCAGCTGGAAGCTTGGTGGAAGCTTTTGACAGTCCCAAAGCAAGAACTCCAGCACACTTACCAACTGCCTAAAGCCATCTCCCTTCCCAGTCATAATCCCGTGGATTTTCTAGGAGTCTCGCCCCCTCTTTCAGATCTAGTGATTTCTGGCTTTATTTTTATGTAAGATACCTCTGGAACCACCTTACACGTCTCTTTTATCAAAGGAGAAAAAGGAGTAGGGGGTCTTAATAACCTTTTGAGTTGTAGCTCAAGAGTCACTGGAGAGGTGTGTGTGTGTGTGTGTGTGTGTGTGTGTGTGTTACTTTCTGCTACTATCTCTTGGGAAGCACATACACCGACCTGGACATGCATCCTTCTGACCACCTCTCATTCTCACAACCATGATGCTTAAGCCTATATTAAAATCTCATTGAACAAATTTTGACTCTGTTTCACTATATTGGCTAGTCTTGAAATTCTCTTCAGTGTCAAAGCCATGAATCCCAATTCAGCCAGAGTTAAGGTTCTTAAAAGTCTAGGAGAATGTCTCAAGTTGATGAGATGGCAATGTGGAAGTGTCACCACTGACACTGTTTTTTAATATGCTAATTTCTACTCCTTCAGGTGCTCACCCATGAGGGGTTTAAGAAGATCATGTGATAATTCTAGTTTGATTTTTGAGGGTTTTCCATAGTGGCTGTATTATTTTACATTCTTGTCAGAAGTACATGGTTTCCTTTCTTCTACATTCTCCACCCCTCCCTGTTGTCTTTTTGATGATTTTGAATGAAATGAGACATAATCTCAGCATAGCTTTGATTTGAATTTCCTTTATGACTAAGAATGTTTGAACATTAAAAAATGACCTATACATTGGCCAGCTATATTTTTTTCTTGTGAGAACTCTCTGAGATAGGTGTGGTGATCAACAATGGTAATACTTTTAACACTTTGGAGGCAGAGGCAGGGGGACCAGAATTTAAAAGTCATAGCTACACATGGAGTAGAAGCCAGCCTGGGTTACATGAGACTGTCTCAAAACAAAACAAACACCAACGAATGCGAGATCATCACCTTACATGGGTACACTTCTTTAAAGGCCCACCCTCACTGACCTACTTCAACTAATTAATCTCTCTCCCTAAAGGTTGGGGATCGGCTATTCAAACACATAAACCTGGGAAGAAAATTCCAGTCTCAAACCATAGCATTTTACCCCTGATCCTCAGAGGCTAATGACAGTCTCACAAAACAAAACTCATTCAGTCCTTACTGCCCCTTCCCAGAGAATCAGAGCTGTAGACAAGGGTATTTCCTACTTTCTCTGTGTAGTCTATCTGTTTCTCTATGCTTTGCAAAGACCCCAAAATCTCTACCATGATTACTATGGTCCTTTCTTTCTTCATGTTATGGTCTGTGCAAGTCACACAGAGGAAGCTTCTAATCAGTGATCTTACCCCAAAGTCTAGAGTTTTGCCTTAATAGGAATAAAATTTAACTGAAGGGAAATAACGAATGAATATAGACATAAATAAGTTCATAGATGAGGAAGTGAAACTATGAAAGACCTCAATTTCTGTTAAGACAAAGGTTTCCTGCAACCTTTATAGTTATCACTCTATTCTCCAACTCACCACTAGATTTGGCTGTTAAGAGGAATAAAAGGGGGGCAGTGGGAGGGTATTGCAAGCAAAAACACATGCAATTCACTCAGGTATGCAGTGGGACATGACAGAATGAACTTAGGCATTTGAGATTCATAAGCATGGACTTCAGCCCCACTCATTTTGCTCACTCTGCATTCTTGGGCTGGGCATGCCCAGAACCTCATTTTTTTCCTGAGATAATTAAACCACCTTGCAAGGGTTGTTGTGAAGATTAAAAAGAACACATTTGAATGTATATGTAACCCAGTTTCTTTTCTTTACACTCATTGTAGTCTAAGTGAGTTTAAAGACAGAAGGTAAGATAGGTTCTTACCTCTGGGCATCTCTCAGAAACTCCAAGAAGCACCAAACTCCAGTTCTATTAGTGTCCCTAGAGACTCAAACTCTTTTTCTTCCTGCAATTAGGCACATTTTTCCCACTGAGGTAGACTGCCACTTTTCCCCTCTGTGCCACTTTGCTTAACTTGATCATTGACCTTGCCTTCCTTTCTACACCATTATAGTTGAGAATATCGATGAGGCGTATGTAGAATTTGCTGAGGACTTATGTTTTTGTTTCATGATAAGAGAAGCTGCAGGAAGTTGAATTTAAAGAGGAAGTACTGCAGCTGTTGGGGGGTGCACAGATCTTTCCCTTCTGGATGCTTCTCTGCTTACCTCTTGACCTACCTCCATGTGGTAGCGATTTGCTGAACTACTCTACTGGAAATGCCCTTGAGTTTACATTGCCTCAGAATAGTCATAGCACTGTTTACTCATTTGAACATAGAATCATATATAAAACATATATATAATGTATTATATATATATATATATATATATATATATATATATATATATATGGACTTCCCCCCCAATAATGGACCTGTGGGGGCTCAGTGATACCATCAAATAGTCTTCCTCTTGAAATAAGCAGAAGTTCAAACTGAGTATCCTTCAAACCATCTAAATTCTTGGCTTCTGATCGGTGACAAGTAATTTAAACAATATATATCAAACAGGAACATGCAATGGCATCTAAAATCATAAAAAGAACACCTAAATACCGGAAAACAAAGATGACATTTTATGTTGTGACAGAGAACACCTGAAGCCAGCTTTGCAAACTGTTGTCCCAGGCAAAGGAGTCTGCAGCTTAAGTGATAAGGAACAGCCAGCTAGGGTATTCCTTCCTATTTCTGGAGGTTTTTTTCTTGAATGAAGAGCCGATGTGATTGGTCTGTTCTCTATGTATTCTCTTGGACTCATTCTGGAGCACTTTGGCCCTTTGCCCCTTCTTGCATCATTCTTTATACTTCCCTCTGTCCCAAGTCTTTCATTTCTCCTTTTCTCCCTCCCTTTTATTTTGCTTTGCTTATATAATTTTCTTTTGAAAGGGTATCATGTAGCTTAAAGCTGATTTCAAACATAATATATAATAACCAAGGCCAGCCTTGGACTCTTGATGCACCTACTTCTGTCTTCAGAGTACTAGAATTACAGTATGTAGGAACATTTGTTTATTATTTGTTGCTTAAATGACTTTTTCTGAGAAGGTTTCTTTGACTTTTTCCCCAATTCTTGTTACAACCCCAAATCACACCATTTCCTTTGTTTAAACAAGACTATTTCAATTATTATACTTCTCTCCACATATTCCTGAGGTTGCTTA